CAGAAAGAAAGAAAGAAAACAGACGGGGTCCCACCTCTCGCAGGAAGTGTGACAGGCGGCGCGGGTCCTCCTCTCCTGCGGAGCAGCGGCTCAGGGGCAGGGTCAGGGCAGGGGGTAGGCAAGGAGCGGCGGGGCGGCGGTCGCGCGGGTCGCCCCAGTCGGAGCCGAACTGGTTGGTGTCTTCGGCGATCAGGTTGATCTCGCGCACGCCTCGCTCGACGAGCAGCCTCGCCTACAACCTCGGCTGAGCTCGGCTGAGCTCGGCTGAGCTCGGCTGATCTCCTCTGCTCGGCGGAGCTCGGCGGAGCTCGGCTGAGCTGCGGATCTCGGCGGATCTCGGCCGATCTCGGCGGATCTCGCCTCGGCCAACGCCGTGTCGAACGGCTTGGAGCGGAAGGCGCCGCGGAAGCCCGGGATGGCGCAAAAGGAGCAGGCGTGGTCGCAGCCCTCGGCGACGCGCAGGTAGGCTGTGTGCGCCGCGGTGAGCTGGAACCGGACTGTCTCTGGCCGGAACGGCACCTGGACAGGTCCGGGACAGGTCCGGGACAGGTCCGAGACACGTCCGGGACATTCCTCGAGGGCGGACGGCCACCGTCGCGGCGCCGACGAGCACGCTCGCCCTCTCCGCCGCCGAGTCGAGGCCTGGCTCGGTGTCGTCGGCGTCGGACGTCGACAGCGTGGCGAGGACGTGGCTCGGGATGTCGGCGTACCTGGGAGCGCGAGAGCAACACCGCCCTCGAGAGGCGTGGCTCCTCGGAGGGGAGGACGAGGAGTGGTGGTCCCGCATCTAGAGGCCGCGCACGACTCAAACCCGACGACGGCGTCCACCTCTGGCAGCTCGTCCGCCAGCTCCTCGGCGTAGCGCTGCGCCATGCACCCCGTCACGTAGAGGCCGCGCACGCGCGAGCTGCGGTCCGCCTTGAGCCTCGCCGCGTCGACGATCGCGGCGACCGACTCGCGCTTTGCATCCTCGACAAAGGCGCAGGTATTGACGACGACGATGTCAGCATTCTCCGGCTCGCGCACCACCCGCAGCCCGTGCCGCTGTAGATCGCCCAGCATCACCTCTGCGTCGACAGTGTTCTTCGGGCAGCCCAAAGCGACGAGTGCGACCGAGTGCTCCTGTGGCGTGATGCGTATGGGCGCGGCGGCAGCAGCGGCCATGCGCGGCGAGAGCCGCACTGCGGCTGCGCCGCCGGCGAGGGCGATAGAGAAGAAGATGTCCGAGCGCAGCATGCGCTGATCGCTCACCAGCCGCCGGCCCACTCGTCTCCTGTAGAGCGCACGCGCGGGGTCGACCAAGCAGCGCGAGCTCAGAGCTCTCCTGATCGAAACGAGAAAAAGCTTCGCAGGGAAAAACAAGAAAAAGAAAATCGGTTGCCTCCCGCGCTTGACCACCATCCGCCCCTTACGAACCAAATGCCGTCCGGAGTCGCCCTCTCTCGCCTGCGCAAGGAACTCGACATGCTGCATCGCGAGCCTCCGCCTGGCATCAGCGCCTGGGCCAAGGAGGACGGCTCCTTTGAGATTGAGGCCGGTGAGAGCGCCCGGCCGCACCCTCGCCGCCCGCAAACTGCCTCGGCGATTCACATCGACCGGCCTCGCGCACAGTGATCCACGGGGCGGAGGACACGCCGTACGCGCGGGGCAGCTTCCACCTGCTGCTCGCCGTGCCGGAGCGGTACCCCTTCGAGCCTCCGCGCGTGCAGGCGCCGCCGCCGCACCACCACCGGCCGCCACTTTCCCTGCCTGGGCGGCTGTTGTTTGTCCGCTCACGCCATCGTGGCACGGCACGCCTTCGCCACCGCCGCCTCCACCGCACGCGCCCCTTCGCCCGCCGCAGTTCACCACTCCCATCTACCACCCGAACATTGACTCTGCCGGCCGCATCTGCCTCGACATCCTCAACATGCCTCCCAAGGGCGCGTGGAAGCCGTCGCTCAACCTGCCGACCGTCCTCTCGTCGATCCAGCTCCTCATGTCCCACCCCAACCCCGACGACGGGCTCATGGTCGAGATTGTGCGCCCTCCCTCCCACGCCGTTTCGCCGACCCTTTGCGGACACTGCGCGTCCGCCACCGCGCGCCCGCAACTCGCCGCCGCCCGCCTCGCGCACCTCCTTACCCCCCCCCCCCCCTTCACAGACGCACGAGTACATCCACCACCCCGAGAGGTTCAAGCAGACGGCAGAGGAGCGCACCCGCCGCCATGCGCTCCCCGCCTCCGCCGCCTCCGCCTCCGCCGCCTACGCCCCCGCCTCCTCCGCCGCCGTCAGCTCCTCCACCGCCGCCTCTCCCCTGGCGGGTGGCGCCCCCGCTGCCGCGGAGAGCAGTGTCAAGGCGGCGGCGGCTGCCTCGGGCGCAGGCGGCGCCGCCGCTGCACTGCCGCCCTCCTCCTCGGTCGATGGCGGCGCGGCGGCGGGCATCAAAGGAGGCGCCGACGGGCCGGTCGCCCCGGCGGAGAGCGGCGGCGCAACGACCGCCGCCGCCGCCGAGACAGCCGACGCGACGACGTCGACTGGCTCTGCCGCCGCCGCTGCCGTGGATCCCGCCTCTGCCGCCTCTGCCGCCTCTGCCGCCTCCGCCGCCTCCGCCAAGCGGCAGCGGCTGGAGGGCGCCTCGGCGGTTGGCCACGAGCCGCAGGCGTGAGGAGGGTGCGCACAGGGTGGGAGGGCGGGCGGCTGGTGCCTGAGCAGCGCCCCGGCAGCAGCCCACCCTACCTGTACCTATACCTGTGCCCGTGCCCTCCTCCAGCGCCAGCGGGAGCGGCGGCGTGCAGCCGGCGCACCCGGCGCGAGTCTTCGGGCAACTCTCACATGCGAAGTGCTGGATTATACGTTCACTGTGTCCCTGAGGGCGGTGGCGGCGTGGTGCGCTGCCGTCGGCTCGTCCCGTCTTTTTACGTTCGTACTGTCGGTGACCTACCGTTCCGTCAAAAGAAATAATCGAATAAATCCAAAAAAAACGGACACACCAAATAAGCTTACAGAAATAGCGCGTTTTCTTCTTCACTGAATCCACCCCGTGCGATAAGACGAAGACGGAGGGCGCCGGCGGCGGCGCCGCCGGGAGAGACGGATTCGCAGCGCGGCGCAGGCATGAGCGGAGGTTACGTCGCGCCGTCCCTCGGCTCAGCCGACGCGGAAGGCTTCATGGCGCAGCTGGCGCAGGCTCCCGGCTCGAGCTTGGCCTCCAACGCCTACGGAGGCTCGGCCGCTTCCGGTAACGGCAGCAGCAGCTACGCAGCCACAGCCACAAACAGCAGCTACGCCTCGGCGGGCTTTGGCTCCGCGGCGAGGCCGGCGGAGGCGATGTCAGGAGTGGGCATGCCGCAGGCCGGCCCGCGCGGCCCGCGCACACGGATTTGCGCCGCTCATGTCGGCTTCAAGGCGCTCGCGCTGCTCGTGTACCTTATACCCGGCCTGTTCACCGGCTCGGAGTACGTGCCGACCTTTGTCGCGGTGGTGATGCTGTCAGCTCTCGACCTGTGGACCGTCAAGAATGTGACGGGGCGGCTGCTCGTCGGGCTCCGGTGGTGGAACGAGGTGGACGAGGCGAGCGGGCGCTCGCACTGGAGGTTCGAGTCGTTCGAGGAGCAGCGGTTCGTGCACGCGACCGACTCGACCGTCTTCTGGACCGCCCTCTTCGTCGCGCCCGCGCTGTGGCTGCTGCTCGCGCTCGGCTGCGTGCTGACGCTCAAGCTGCACTGGCTGGTGCTTGTGGTCGTCTGCCTGGGCATGACGGGTATCAACGTGTATGGCTACGTCAAGTGCAAGAAGGACGCGCGCAAGAAGATCGCCGCGCTGTCCGGCTCGGTCGCGCAGGAGTACGGCGGCCAGATCCTCGCGCGCGGCATGCGGCTGTGGCAGGGAGGCGCGCAGCAGGGCGAGCGGCAAAAGGTGCCGGGCTAGCCTCCGCTGGGAGCGAGTAGAGAGCGGCGGTGGCTCCGTCTGGGTCAAGGGAGGGGTGCGCCAGTGTCACGGAGGCCTTCCCTCCCGCTTCGCCCTCCCCCCGCCGCGGCCGGCACACACGCCTATCTTGCACAATGCAGGCTATTTACGGTTAGCCGCCGCGTGTTCCCGGTCACCTGGAGGCGGCGCGCGCTGCTGCCGGGGCCTAGCCTCAGCAGTGACAGTTTTGTCAGAATAGAGTTAGACAAGGACGTTTCGCTTTCCTGAGAAACACAGCTACGAAACTCTGTGCATCTGATGAGCGCCGTCACAGACCGCCGCGCCGACTAAAACTCCCTGTCAGAACTCCCTATATAACGATTGACAGCAGTCCACGGCCGTGCGGCGCAACTGCCTTCTCCGTCACCTCCTCCCGGTAGCACCAGATCTGCCGCACCGCCCGCAGCCACAGCACAACATCTCACTGAAAGACTGCGGGGTCCGGCCTGGCGGGCTCTGGAAAGAGGCTGAGGAGATATTCGGAGTAACTCTGGTAGGCGTCGTAGACTGCCTTGGAGCGGCCGCTCGTCTGCATGTACTTTAGGAACATCATGAAGACAAATATGCGCACGAACGAAGCAGTGCGGCCAAGGAGCCAGCTCTTAGGCTCTGCGACCTTGTCGTGTCCACTCGCCGCAGGTGCGTCCACCTTATCGTCCGCCGTGTCGCCCGGACGCCTGCGCGTGGCCTTCTTGGCCATCGCGTCCTGGGGACGGTGAGAGGCGCAGTGAGGGCGCACAGCGCCAGCCTCGCCGCGAGTAGGAGTCCTCCCTGCCGCCTTTGCTGAGGTTTCTTTTTATTTTTGCCTTTGGGAGGAGAAGGAGAAAAGTAGGATGAGCGCCCGCCGCCGCCCGCCGCCGCCCGCCGGGTTTCTATGCCGCCCCAGTTTGTGCCGGGCGACCGATGAGGGATGACCAACGTGGCCCTGGTGCTGCTCGATGACGCGGGCGCGGGCGACGCTGGCGTGCTCGGCCACCCGATCCTCCGCACGCCGCACATAGACGCGTTTGCGAGGAGCGGCGTCCGCTTCTCGGCGGCTTACGCCGGCGCACCAAACTGCTCTCCGTCACGCGCTGCACTGCTCACGGGCCGCGCACCTTTCCGCACCGGCGTTTACGATTTTCTCTCGAAGCGCTCGGGCTCGATGCACCTCGCTGCGGGCGAGACGACCATTGCGGCGCTGCTGCGCGCGAGCGGGTACCAGACCCTTCACCTCGGTGCCCGCCGCCTCACGCCCGCCCTGCCCCTCCCGCACCCACGCACGTGTCGTGCCGCACGCCCAAACGCACTCGCAGGCAAGTGGCATCTCAGCCGGCGCGGCGCCGGACACGGCTTTGCGCCCCCGCACTTTGGGTTTGATCACTCCAACGAGTCGTATGCTCCAGCGTCGCAGCTCGTCGCCGCCTTTGGCGGCTGGCTGCGCGGCGGTCGGCGGCGCGGCGCGCCATTCTTCGCCTATCTCGCGCTCTGGGAGCCGCACGAGCCGGTGCAGCTGTGGTCGCCGCCCGCCTTCCGGCGGCTGTACGAGGGCAGCGGCGGCGATGCCAGTGGCGGCGGCGACAGCATCAGTGGCGATGCGGATCTTGCCGCCAGAGGCCGCCAACATCCGGCAGGCGGTGGCCGATGCGTGTGGCGGGTGGCGCGTGCGCCTCCCCGGGTCTATTATGGCTGCCTCTCGGCGGTGGACACGGCGATCGGGCGGCTGCTTTCGGAGCTCGGCAGACACAATGAGGGGCTCGCGTCTCTCGACCCACAGCGCCGGCGCGTCACCACGGGGGGTGCATGGACAGGCGCGGCGGGCGTGCGCGAAGACACTTTGGTGGCGCTGGCATCTGACAACGGGCCGGAGCACCGCGGGCGCCACCTAATTGGGCCACTCGATCGGGTGGCGCATCTGCCGTGTTAAAGCGTGAGTGCATGAGTCAGGCGCCACTCATGGGGCTCCAGCGGAGGGCTGCGCGGCGCCAAGGGCTACGTCTACGAAGGTCGGCGAAGCTGCATGCTCTCACCCCGGAGCGACGCCAGGCTGTGAGCGTGGCGTGACTTGCTGTAGGGGGCATCCGCGTGCCGCTGTTCCTGCAGTGGCCCGCTTTTACGCGGGGCCAGTCGGCGACGGTGCAGACGCCTGTGCATTTGTGGGACCTGCTGCCCACGTTGGTCGAGGCGGCGGGCGTCCCTCTCGACGCGGACACGCGGGGCGAGCTCGACGGCGTCTCTCTCCTGCCGCTGGCCGCCGCGGCGCTCGCCGGCGCGTGCACTCACACCATCCAACCTCGACGCTCTCTAGGTTGCGTCTCGCTCTCGCCCACTCGCCCCGCTCCCCATCAGGCGACGAGCGCAGCACGCGGCCGTTTGGCCGACGCAGGCCACTATGGTGGGCAATGCACCGGGGGCGCGGTGGTATGCAGTACGCGTTGCGCGAAGGCGTGCAAAGCCCCGGGGCAGGCCGTCAAGCATCACGTTGCTGCATGAATGCGAGTGTTTCCTGCAGGCGAGTGGAAGCTGCTCGCGGGGTACGGCGACACGCCAAGCCGGTCGCACGGGCCCGCTCCCGGCGGCGAGGTGTTTGGCTTGCAGCCACAGTGTCTCGCGCGCGGGACCCTGACCCGGCTCCACGCCCGGCGGCACCCTCGCCGTAGGTAACAGAGTGGCTGCGTGCGTGCGAGCTCGGCCGTGCCGAGCTCTACCGCGTCTCGCACGACCCGACTGAGGCCCGCTGACCCTTGTCGCGCAAGCAGGACGTCGGGGCGTTTCCCCGAAGAAGCTTCTCACATGGCGCTTCATGTAGGCCGTCGACCTCGCCGCCCGCGAGCCGGCGCGCACCGCGCGCATGCGGCGGCGGCTGCAGCAATTGGTGCGCGATGCCACGGCGCGCGGGCCTCGGGTGGTCAGCTGGAGCGAGAGGTCGCCGGCCTGCCCGAGACGGAACGCGCGGCTGAATGTGACAGAGCTGTGCTGCCGTGAGGGCTGAAAGTGAGGCATGAGTGCAGGGTACTGTACGATGAACAGGGTGTTGCAGAGGGCTGGTGACGTGGCGGGTGGGGCGTCTGCCGAGGAGGCAGGAGCGAGGACTTCCAGCCGCGCGGAGCGTGCTGCTGTGTGCTGAGCTGGCGCTGGAGAGGCGCTGCGCAGATGAGTGTTTTCTCTCGCTACTCGCAGCCCGACAGAGCTCCTCCGTGCACTCATCTCTCATGCATCGTTCGTGAAAACTCTATAAGACGGCACACAGACACGAGAACACATAACACAAGAGAACAACGATAGCTCCAGTACAACGAGTCAAGAACAAGCTCAAACTCCAGTGGCAATAGGGGGCTACGCGCCCCACCCGAGCGTGGCGCGCGACCCTACACATGGACAATCTGGCGCCGCATCCAGCATACACATACACATACACACCACACACCGCATAGCACGACCAAACCTCCCTCACGCTCACTGCAAGCAGTCCACCCCCCCCCCCCCCCCTTCTCCCCTCGCAGTGCCTCCTCCCCCCACTAGTCACCCCCCAAAGTCGCAGAGAGCTGCGCAGCAGGCCAGCGCCGCTCTGCATGCGGTGCTGCGCCGCTCTACACGTGGTGCTGTGCCGACGGCTCGGCCTCGGAAGGCTCGGCCTCGGACGGCTCGGCCTCTGGCTCCACCGTGCTGACGGAACCGACGCTCGAGGAGCGGAGGACGCCCAGAGTGCGTCGGAGGAAGCTGCCCGAACGACGGAGGTCCACCTGCGCCTTTGTGGGAGTCGCGCCGAGGCTCTTTGCAACAAGCACGAGCGACACCTGCAGAGAGCATGGATGATGTAACGTGACCACCCTCGCGACGCGACGATGGGATTTGCGCGCGCCTCGTGGTGGCGTCCCGGAAAGCACGAGCGCGCGACCTGGCTGCTGTAGAGGCCGCCAGCAATGAGCTCCTGCGGCGTGGTCTCGAAAAACTTGGCGAACAAGCAGCCGCCGCGCGTGGGGTCGTTCTCGTGCGCCATCACGATCGGGAGCTTGTCCGCGCGCGCCTGTTTGACCTGCTCGCCCAGCCGCTCGTCCGACCACGTTTCCTCGTTGAGGTAAAGGAGCATGTGTGTCGCTTGCTCCGGAGTGTCGGAGGTCGAGACCGAGAGGCCGGCAAAAGCAGAGGCGAGCTCGTTTGCGAGCCGCTCTGCGCCCGCGTTGGCCGGCGAGGCCCACACGCGCACCTGCTTGGCAAGGTCACTCGCGTCAGCGCCCGCGCTGGTGTTGCTGGCGCGCCAGTAGCCGGGCGGGGAGCACCTGCTTGGCAAAGGCGAACGACCGGATCCGCGGCTCGCCCGGCACGCAGAGCGGGAGGGAGACCATCTGCGAGAAGGCGGGCGAGCAGAGGAGCAGCGCCTAGCACAAGCGGAGACGGTCTCCTGGACAGAGAGGGTCTGCGGAGCCACCGCGGCCTGGTGTTGCCTCGGCGATGAGCTTGAGGGAGACACGCTGGAATTCCTTGATGCGCATCCACGCTGTGTGCGGCCGGTCCTGATCGAATATGGCCGGCTGCAGGCCCTCGGGGCATTCGGCCCGCAACACCGCCAGCGTCCCTCCGCCCTTGGCCGGGTCCATCTCCTGCACTAAGATCAGCGGTTTGTTCATCTCGAGCGACGAGCGAACCTCCCGGAGGCAGTTCTGCGGCGCGGGAAAGCGGGAGGTGAGGCGTTCAGTGCTGCGGGGAGAGTAGCGGGCGGAGGGGGAGGGGTAGCGCCTTGGAGCGGAAGTAGCCCTGCGAGAGGAAGATGAGGATCGCCTGCGAGTGCCGGATGTACTCCTCGAGCGCCCCGATGTCTTCGAGGTCATCGACATCGACGAAGACTTTTACGCCGGGCAGCAGCAGCATCAGCTGCTTCTTGATGACGGCGACGGCGTCTTGACCGGTGCTCCAGATGTGGCTGTTGAAGAGATGCCACGTGATGCCTTTCGCCACCGTCAGCTCGGGCCTCTGGTTGGTCGAGACGAGCCGAATCGTGGGGACCTCGGCGAAGCGGCGGGCGGCGACGATGCCGGCGACGAAGAAGAACACGAGCGTGATGGCGACGAGGGCGATCATCGTGTTCACGATCACGTTGAGCTTGCCGAAGCCGAGGATGGCGAAGGGATCTGCCTCCGGGTACCGCTCCTCGATGCCGAGGAAGATGGTTGTCCAGTTGGCGCCCAGGAAGAGGAGGAGGAGCACGAAGCCCATGGCGACGGCGAGGCAATTATCCTCGATCCGCTTGTACGGCCGCACGGCGGCAAGCGCGACGGCGTAGAAGGAGCAAATGAGGGTCGCGACCACGAGGCGAACAAAGGCGCGCTCCTCCGGTATCAGCAGCACCGCGCCAGTCAGCACGAGCTTGCGCGCCAGCTCGAGCGCCTCCCACCAGAAGTAGGTCAGCTCGTACTCCCGGTGGAGGAAAGCGGTGGCGCGCGTGAGCGCAGTCCGCGCCTTGGCCTGCAGCGGCTTGTAGCAAACGATGAGGAGCGAGGAGTAGAGGACGAGCGAGCCGAGCGGCCAGAGGACGATGAAGCCAATGGCGAGATTCTTGATGGGCCCGTGGTCCTCAGTGCCGCACTCGACGCTCGCGTCCTGCCGCATGTAGCTGATCTGCTCCAGCGGCTCATCGGGCCGAGAAGTGGTGTACGCCTATTGAGCGACACCACAAGCAGTGAGGCGACAGCAGTGAAAGGCAACGGGATGAGCCAAGTGCGGCGCCTGGCAGCTCCACGAACGGAATATGGAGGCGCTGATGGACGGGACAAAGCAGAAGATCAGCACGAGGCAGGCCGGCGTGAGGTCGAGCACGCCGAGGGCTGCCTCCGCTCGCCAAGATATCAGCGAAGTCGACACCTGTGACTCCTCTGTGGACATCACTGAGAGCACTGTCATCGTCGATGCGGCGGAGGCGGCGGAGAAGCTCTCAAGGCGCCGGGTCGCGCTGAACGATGCTTCGCCACTATCCGTCTGAGCACTGCTCTTGCTGCTGCCCCCAGCACGCCAGCGAGCATGGAGCCGACGCCCTATGCCCGCAAGCAGAAACAACGCGATCAGGCCGATGGGAGAGACAGCGATGGCGACGAGGCGGGACCGGTACGAGAGGCACTGCGCCGGCAGGAATACACCAGACCAATCGATGGCGACGGCTTTGGACACCGCATCGGTCCAGCCCGTGTACTCCTCCGGCAGCCGCGCCGAGTAGGTGGTCGAGAGGACGATGCAGACCTGCCAGAAGCTGAAGAGGATCTTCATCTTGGCTGTCAGGCCCATACCGACGTAGTAGACGACAGTGCGGTCGGCAAAGCGGAGCGGAGGGCCGACGCAGGACTTCTCCCGCCAATCAGTCCTGCTGTAGCAATACGCTGCGAGGCCGCACGCGACGCAGAGGGAGAGGACGATGCCGGCGATGCGGCCCGCTGCCCCGCCGACCGAGAGGCACTTGTCGCACTTGACGCCGTTGACGAGGTAGTGATTCTCCGCGACGCAGAGCTGGCACTCGGGGCCTTTGAAGTCCGAAGCGCAGTACTCGTTCGAGCCCGCCTCCTCCAAACGGCGAGACGCCTGCTTGGCTCCGCGCTCGTTGCCGGCGCATCGCGCCTCGCCTGCCCTGTCGCCCCCGCCAAAGGCGCGGCACGCCGTCAGCACGGCGGAGGAGGAGCTGGCGCGCCAGTAGCCGGGCAGAACGACGAGGGTCTCGAGGGTGGTGCCGTCCGGGCAGTCGGCGTGTGGCGGGCAAGGCTTGCAGTACTTGGTTGGGGATCTGAAGATGCCGCCCGGGTCCGAGAAAGTGTCCTGCAAGTAGTAGTCGTCCATGCAAAACGAGCAGGTGGTGCTGCCGTTGGCCGAGCTGAGGGGGTGAGGACACGGGACACAAAGGCCCTGACCAGCGTTGGCGGCGTAACGGCCAGCCTCGCACGCGTCGCACGCGTCGCTGCCTTGATCCGACGAGGTGCCGGGAAGACAAGATTCGCACTCGGACCGCCCCGCTTGTGCGGCGAAAGTGCCAGGCGAGCACGGCGTCGGATGGACGCTGCCCGTGGAGCAGGCGCTGCCAGTGGGGCAGGCCGTGCACTCGCTCGCGGCGGTGAGGTTGGTGGCGCGCGAGTAGCTGCCAGCCTCGCACGGCAGCGGCTTCGACGCGCCCGGCTCGCAGTAGCTGCCTTTCTCGCAGTCGCGACAGCCCGTCGCGCCCGTGTCGTTCTGGTAGGTCCCGCCGGCGCAGCTGCCGCACTCGGCGAGGCCACTGTCAAGACCGAAGCTGCCAGCGCGGCAAGGCTCACAGGTCTCAATGCTGTCTGCTCCGGTCTTAGAGCCCGAGGTGCCGGCAGGGCAGAGAAGGCACGATTCGATTGAGGTGGACCTGGTTTCCGGGTTGTACCTGCCGGCGGGACACACTTGCCGCACCATGCTCCCGTCCACCACCTCGCAGAAGCCGCCCGGCTCGCAGTCCTCACACTTCGAGCTCCCGATGTTGGCCGAGTAGGTTCCTGTAGGGCAGACGGTGCAGTTCGCCTGGCCGGTCCCCGACTGGTACTGTCCGCGCGGGCACTTGAGGCAGTCCTCCGCCCTAGACGCTCCGAGCAGCGGCATGTAAGTTCCCTCGGCGCAAGGCGTCGGGTTTACGGTCCTCTCTGCGCAGTGGAAACCGAACGGGCAAATCCCGCTGCATCTAGCGGTCTCAAGGTTGGTGGCGTCGCCGTAGTACCTCTCAGGGCAGGCGTTGCAGCCGAGCACGTCGCCCTCGAATGCGCCACGGGTGGGCATCCATTCGCCGAGAGGGCAGGGGAACCAGCTTATCTCGGAGTTCGCCAGGATAGTGACTCCATCTCTGACCGCGATGTTGCTCACAAAGATCGAGTCGTCCACCGAGCCCTGCATGGAATCGGAGGGCCAGCCGCTATAGAAGAAGGCCGAGGCTGTGCTGGCTCGGTTGTTGCTCAGATTGGACCGCACGAGGGTTGCAATACTCGTGGCACTCTCGAACTTGTCTCCGCCGCCGCGTCTCTCGGCCGTGCTGCTCGTCACGGCGCTGTCGGACAGCGAAAGCTTACCACTTTCGGCCATGGCGATGCCGCCGCCATTGGCGCCGGCGGAGCAATCGGCAATGCTCGAGCTATCGGTGAGCGCAAGCGCGCCGCTCTGCCGGATCGAGATGCCGCCGCCGTCGCCCTTCGCGCGGCAGCCAGAGAGGCTCGACCTCTCGAGCTCGACATCTCCGCTCTCGGCCATGGCGATGCCGCCGCCATCTTCACCGGACTCGGAATCCTTGATGCTCGAGTCGGCCAGTTTGAGAGACCCCGCACCGGACCCTTGGATGGCCCCGCCGCCGTTCTCGGAGTAGCCGTTGACGAGCGTCAGCCCTCGGAGGGTGAGACTGCAGCCGCCGGAGAGGGAGAAGAGCCGCGAACGACGCTGTCCGTCGAGGGTCGCGCCGACTCCGCGGCTGCGAATCTCAAGCGAGATGTTAGCGCTGCATTCAAGCGATGAGTCGAGCACCTCTGAGGCGCGGCGTGTCTCGTCGTCGTATCCGTCGCACCTCCCCGGAAGCACAAGAGTGCCCACGCGCGCCCACGTGCTTGTTTCGCCCACACCCTCCATGCACTCGCAGGCAGACTGGCAGTAGCACTTGCAGTCGAAGGGATGATAGCAGTGGTACTCGACGTTCGTCGTGTTCGGATGAATTTCTGTGCAAGAGTCGATGCAGTGCTCAAGGGAGCACTGCGAGGCAGCCTGCTCATCGCATATCTCTTTGTCGAGATTGCTCTCACACCTACCCGCATCAGGGAAACTTTCCCAGCCGTGGTAGGACAGCGGCAGCGGAGGCGGCGTTGGTGCCATCTCAGGCGGATACGGCGGCAGCGGCGGAAAGCACTGACTGTGAGCGATAGGCTCCACCGCTGGCGTGTGTGCGGGCACCACCGATCCTTCTCGCAGCTCGCGCAGCTCGCCGTCATCGAGGGCGCCGTTGAAGACAAAGACGTCACGCATCTCGCCTCGAAAGTAGGGGTCGTACCCCCAGTGGCTCTTGCCCACGTACAAGCCCGAGCGTGCGACCGCAGGCGGCAGAGGCAACGAACCGGAGCCCCTGGGTACGCCGTCCCAATACATCGTGACTGTCTCGTCCGGCTTGTGGACAACCGCCACGTGAGTCCACACGTCGACTGGGAACGCTCCGCAGACCCATCTGTCGGATGGTGGAGTAGCCGGGCACGGGCCTTGAGAGGGTGCGAATGAATACTGTGTCGACCCCAGATAGACATCATACGCCACTCCGTATTGAAATGCGACCACTATGTTGTCGGACCCTCCCCCATTACCAAAATCGATCAGCCGATCCCCCTGGTTCCCCGACCTGCTTCGCTTGACCCAAGCAGCGACGGTCAGACCAAGACTCCCGCCAATGTGATCCGGCGCCTTGGCATTGACGTAAAAGTCGGTCCCGTCAAAGGCTACCGCGTTGATGCACAGCGGCGAGCGTGGTGGCGTCGGCGGAGAAGGCGGCAGCGAGGGCGGTGACGGTGGAAGAGGCGGAGGAGACGGCGGCAGAGGCGGAGGAGACGGCGAGGGCACTGCCAGCGTCAGAATCGTGTGTACAAAGGTGCCAAAGTTGCCACAAAAAACCTGCCATCCTGCGCCGAGCGGCGGCGAGGACCTGTCGTCAGAGAAAAGGTAGGCGTCTGCAGTGCAGGATCCCGCCCCATCGAGGGCGTTCCATTCAGTGGTGCTCGGAGCAATAGATTGAAAAAGCCATGTGGAACGTTCACCGCCACCATTGCAAGAAGGATCCCAGTAGATGTAATGCGAGGACGAGGCGTCGCGATAGTACGGCGCTCCTGAGGCGGTGAAGCCGGCGGCGAGGTACTCCAAACCGCCGAGAAAGCCTGTTTGGTAGCTGCAGCCCCCAGAGACCACAAAAGGCGGCGGCAGCGGTGGCGACAATGGCGGCGGCGGCGGCGACAATGGCGGTGGCGGCGACGGCGGTGGCGGCGACGGCGGCGTGGATCCCAACCTGATGTGGGCGCCCGGGGCCAGCAGGATCACCGCGTCCTGGCCCGTGCTCACTGCTTCAGCAATCAGGTTCCGAAGCTCATTCTCCGTCGCAGCGTGAGTCTCCCCAGGCCGAACAGGGGGCAGCGGCGGCAGCGGCGGCGGGGATGGTGGCAGAGGCGGTGTTGCGGGAGGAGGCGGCGACAGCGGCGGTGGCGGCGGCGCCGACGGCGGCGGCGGTGGGAGTGCCGGCGGTGGGAGTGACGGCGGCAGCGGACACTCGACCAGCCAGCTGATAAACCTGCTTCCACTTGTTGAGCCAAACAGCCTCGTGCCAGCACGGCCCGTGTAGCGCAAATTGTAAGGCTCGTACGTGATGCCGTTGCAGTATTCCTGCGCCATCACTGCAACGGTTGCTTCTTCCAAAGTCGCTGCGTTCACCTCCGGAAAGCAATAGCCACCGTACGCTACATCGATGTACATGTCACTGTAGGGCCCGGTGAGCGGGCAGGGCGGCGAAGGTGGCGGAGACGGCGGGGAAGGCGGGGAAGGCGGCGGCGATGGTGGAGCGGGCGGAGCGGACGGTACGGCGGCACAATAGCAAAGCAGCCGGTAGCCAGAGTAGCAAAAGCTGTTCCAATCAGGACATTCGTTGCAACCAGAGTAGCTGCTGCCGCTCCGGCTGTAGTAGCAGGTCGATCCGGATACGGTTGGGTTGATCCCCCAGCCACCAGCTACCGCAGTGCACGAGATTCCATGCTCAGCGTAAGCGATCACAATCTCTGTCGCGTTGAGTTCAGGCATGTCGGCATCGCAGGAGCCACCCAAGTCAGAGCACACGGAGCCGCATGCCTGCCCATCGTTTCCAAGGTGATACGATGGCGGCGGCAGCGGTGGCAGCGACGGCGGAGACGGCGGAGCAGGAGGCAGCAGCGGGGGCAGCGGTGACGCAGGCGGGTCGTCATACGTTGTGGCCGCGCCCGGGACTATGAAGACGCTCGATGCGAGGTGCAAGGCCGGCGCGTCCATGATTTGCAAACGGAGGGTTTGGGGGTTTTGATTGTCCCCCCCCCGGAGCACGGAGGGAGTGTTGTGTATTTTTTTCAGACCAGATGAATACTTGCGTCTTTCGATGTACATAATGAAGAAACTCGAACGGCGCACAGCAGCGCGAGGAGGACCGCGGCCGGCGACGTACATCCTGAGAGAGAGATTTTTCAATACCAAACAAATCTAACACTCACACGTCATTTGTGACTTGGGCTCGGCAGCTTGTCAGCCCTCAGCCGAAGCTGGGGCCGGTCCCGTAGCCGAGAGAGCCCGCGCCGATGAGTTCGACGCGGTCGGGGGGGCCTGCGGAGAGGCCAGCGAGATGGCGA